TCCTCTTACTGCTACTGATGCTGCTGGAAACCTAGACAAAAATTCTATTGGAGCTGCTGCTGCTGCTGCTGCTAGTAGCTGACCCTTCACAGCTTCCGGCAAGGAAACCCCATGCTAATGAGAGGCGACAGCGACTGCTGCTGCTGTGCCCACAAAGGCACAGCCCTGCCGGACGGGGAAACACCATGGCCCTGAAGGACGAACGGAATCCAAAATATGCGTTTCCCGAGGCCGGAACGTCCCTTCTGAAATCTCCTACAAATATTATAGTAGTAGTAGCAAGCTGCTGGCTCGCTGCTAGCTGCTGCACTCCTGCCGTTGCGCTTACTGCTGCTGCGTCTGCTTGTGTCTGCTGCTGCCTACTGATGCCTGCTGCTGCCTGCCGCTGCCTGCTGCTGCCTGCGGCTGCCTGCTGCCTGCGGCTGCCTGCTGCCTGCTGCTGGTGCTGCTACTGGTGGCTGCTGCTGCTGTGGTGCTGCTGTCGTGCTGCTGCAATCAAACAGCCTCCAAAGCAAGAAACAACTGCTGCTGCTGCTGCTGCTGTGCCCACAAAGACACGGCCCTGCCGGACGGGGAAACACCATGGCCCTGAAGGACGAACGGAGTCCAAAATATGCGTTTCCCGAGGCCGGAACGTCCCTTCTGAAATCTCCTACAAAAAGGAATCCTGCTGCCTGCTGCCTGCTGCTGCCTGCCGCTCCTGCCTGCTGCTGGCTGCTGCCTGCTCCTGCCTGCTGCTGGCTGTTGCTGCTGCTGCTGGCTGCTGCTGGCTGCTGCTGGCTGCCTAACGCCGGCTGCTGCTGGTTGCTGCTGCTGGTGCTGCTACTGGTGGCTGCTGCTGCTGTGGTGCTGCTGTCGTGCTGCTGCAATCAAACAGCCTCCAAAGCAAGAAACAACTGCTGCTGCTGCTGCTGTGCCCACAAAGACACGGCCCTGCCGGACGGGGAAACACCATGGCCCTGAAGGACGAACGGAGTCCAAAATATGCGTTTCCCGAGGCCGGAACGTCCCTTCTGAAATCTCCTACAAAAAGGAATCCTGCTGCCTGCTGCCTGCTGCCTGCTGCTGCCTGCCGCTGCCTGCTGCTGGCTGCTGCCTGCTCCTGCCTGCTGCTGGCTGTTGCTGGCTGCTGCTGGCTGCTGCTGGCTGCTGCTGGCTGCCTAACGCCGGCTGCTGCTGGTTGCTGCTGGTTGCTGCTGCCGGATGCTGCCTGCCAGACACGTACTGCTGCCTGCTGCTGGCTGCTGCTGGCTGGTGCGGGCTGCTGCTGGCTGCTGCTGGCTGCTACCTGCTGCCTGCTGCCTGCTGCTGCCTGCTGCTGCCTGGCAGTATAAAAGTAGCAGTGCAGCACCTCTTCTTCCCTTACGCGCTCCCCCTTGCATCGGCCAGGGTCAGCGAATTATTATTATTCTTTCCTGCCCTGCCGGACGGGGAAACACCATGGCCCTGAAGGACGAACGGAGTCCAAAATATGCGTTTCCCGAGGCCGGAACGTCCCTTCTGAAATCTCCTACAAAAAGGAATCCTGCTGCCTGCTGCCTGCTGCTGCCTGCTGCTGCCTGCTGCTGGCTGCTGCTGGCTGCTGCCTGCTCCTGCCTGCTGCTGGCTGTTGCTGGCTGCTGCTGGCTGCTGCTGGCTGCTGCTGGCTGCCTAACGCCGGCTGCTGCTGGTTGCTGTTGCTGGTGCTGCTACTGGTGGCTGCTGCTGCTGTGGTGCTGCTGTCGTGCTGCTGCAATCAAACAGCCTCCAAAGCAAGAAACAACTGCTGCTGCTGCTGCTGTGCCCACAAAGACATGGCCCTGCCGGACGGGGAAACACCATGGCCCTGAAGGACGAACGGAGTCCAAAATATGCGTTTCCCGAGGCCGGAACGTCCCTTCTGAAATCTCCTACAAAAAGGAATCCTGCTGCCTGCTGCCTGCTGCCTGCTGCTGCCTGCCGCTCCTGCCTGCTGCCTGCTCCTGCCTGCTGCTGGCTGTTGCTGGCTGCTGCTGGCTGCTGCTGGCTGCTGCTGGCTGCCTAACGCCGGCTGCTGCTGGTTGCTGCTGCCGGATGCTGCCTGCCAGACACGTCCTGCTGCCTGCTGCTGGCTGCTGCTGGCTGGTGCGGGCTGCTGCTGGCTGCTGCTGGCTGCTACCTGCTGCCTGCTGCCTGCTGCTGCCTGCTGCTGCCTGGCAGTATAAAAGTAGCAGTGCAGCACCTCTTCTTCCCTTACGCGCTCCCCCTTGCATCGGCCAGGGTCAGCGAATTATTATTATTCTTTCCTGGCAGCTGTGTCATAAACTCTTTTTCCCTTACGCACTCCCCCTTGCGTCTGCCGGGGTCGGCGGATATATATATATATTTCTATAACGCCTTATGGCCCAGATGAAGAGATCCAATACTACACTATGGTTTTCTATGGTTTATCTATGGGTTATCTATGGTTATAGCCCTTGGTTATCCAATGTTCGGATCAAAACTGCTGGAGAGGTCTCTGACCCCCTGGAGAAGTTGGATTGGCTGCAGGCAGGAATGGGATACCACAGGGGGTATACCACAGGCGGGCCACGTCCAATACAACAATCTGTAATGGGGGATATATAACTTACATAACTTATGTATAATGTATTTATGATTGTTTATGTCATGCTCACCAAAGAAAGAAGGAAATCAACTCGCAAGATGGTGCCATTGGTTTTTTGAAACCAACCATTGTTATGGGAACATCATGAGGGTATAAGGGGATCCACCATAAATCCAATCGGTAGCCTAGCTATGAACCACCTTTCCCATGTAGAGGTGCCTCCTTGGCCATCCAAGGTTGCGAGTTAGATGAAGCCAATAGTAAGCCATCCTCAAGTGGAGTTTAGTATTGGATTTACCATGGTTTACACCATGGTTTACCACATTCAAAGCTGGATATTGCCGGAGGAATCTCTAACGATATCCTCCATTGGGACCTTTTGGATCGAGACACGACAGAGCTGCCGTGGAACGACACACGCCACGTCGACATGTTGGCCTCCTGCGTGCTTCGGGTGGCACCGAGCCGCAGCTTGGCGATTTTGGGGTCGCCAACAGATCAAGTTTGGGGCGATGGGATTAAGGACCTGCACCAGTGATGTTGGTACTGTAGATGTTGGCAGATGTTGGCAGATGTTAGCATTTAGAATTGATGAAGAACAATCAAGAGTCTTCAAGTTTGTTTTGAGTGAGTGGCCGAGCAATTTTGACAAATGCTGTTTCCAACAAACTCGTGGTCCCATGACTTGATTGACCATTGTGGAAATCTTTTTGCCCCAAGCCCATGACACCATTGTAGGGAAATGACCCCCACACACACGGTTGGATAATGTGATGACTGATGGCTGAGCCTTCCCAGGTCTGCCCAAGCTGCTGGAATTCTACGAAAGATGCCTTGGAATCGAGGATTCGCTTCCAAGAGCTTTCTTGTTTTACCCCAACAAAGTTGCACATGACAGGATGGGACATGCATTGCACATGGCTTGGAAGCCAAACAGTATCACCAACAAATGTGACCCACCCCATTGTGACTGACACCCATTCATACTTGGTAATGAATCCGGTAGTTTCGTTGACCGACTCCCCATTATTCAAGTGGACGTGAGTTCATCAAGTTGATTTTCAGTTTTCCAGTTTTGCTGATCAATTGGTCCTTATGGATATCCGACATATCCACATATCTTCCACACATCCATTTTGGGACATCCCTGGTGGGTCCCTGGTGGGTCCCTGGTGGGTCGGTGGCTTCCAAGGGATGCAGATCCAGCGCCATGACGACTTCGTGGAGTTGCTGGTCCCGAAGCGCTCAGAGAGCTGCAGCCTGCGGGTCCTGGTTTCGGAGGAGGCGCAGCGAACACTGGGAGGGTCTCGAAGCTACTGATCTATGATAGTGTGAATATTGTTTGATGCTGTATACCATACATAGTGATCATGAAAAGGCATGAAGCAAATCACTGTTCTCACATATGTACAGTGCAAACTCATTTCTTTCAACCGATTGATCCGTTTGTATAGCGCACATGGAATATATAAGAATGCTTAAAACCAATTTTGGTAAGCCATTAATGCGGGTAAACAGGAAACTTTGCGAATAGTGTCACATAAAAGTTGCACTAGCTACACAAGCAGATAGCATACATATAGAGTATCATATACATGACTCATCATTGTGTTACAAAAAATTGCACATGACATGTTTTTCATTGGCAATACCTTTGCAGAGTTGTATCATGCTCTTTTCATGCTACGCCATGCATTTTTCAACAAATATGAAAACAGTATGGAAATAACATGGAGGAACAATCCGGCAATATCCTGCAGTCAAAATTTCTGAATAAATGTGCTGATCAAGCAAACATCTTCAAGGGTATGCCTACTTTTTCCGTATTTTTGAAAGATATTATCAGCAGATTAAGATACTGCAGCAAGGGTGATCCTAACTATCTCTGGAATTTCCTTTTGTAAATAACCAAATAGAAATAATCATTGCGCCATGTCATACGTTGCCAGCTTGCCTTTCTAGATTTGAAAAAATGTAGCACTATTGTTGGCTCTATTTGAAATCGAGTTTGAATTGACCCATGTGTGGCCTTGGACTGCAAAAAGACCTCAATGAGAGTAAATTTGCTATGCAAATCACGACAAATGTAATCTAGCTGCCTGCTCCCCTGGGATGACTGCAGATGGTCATTCAAGACTACTCATTCAAAAAAATATCGAGCTTCATGGCCATGACAAATGTAGCATGTTTTTGAACTAAATGATTTTCTTCAATCATGATATAAACATATATATATATAACTGTTCTACTTTCCATCCTGCTTTCTTCCTGTGCAACTTTTGAATATCATGCACTGGCCCATGGCCCTAGGACATAGCGGTTTTCTTTTCTAAGCTTAGTATTTCCTTGCCATGCAGTGAAAGAAAATCCAAAGCGTTAAAAAATCAAAATATTGTCATTGTAATCTATTACTTATCAAAGGAAGTTGGGAAGCGATCTTCCGTGTTACGGACAAATAGAATTGTGATACTCTACATTACACAACAATACACTCAATGAAGGGTGGTGTGAGACTATACATCACATAACAATACATCACAAAACAATAATAGGTTATGACATAGAAGGGTGGTGTGAAACTGTAGATTATTAAAACAATACATCACAAAACAAGAACAGGCTATGACATAGGGTGGTGACGAAGCGAAGTGCAGAGGAAGGGAAGTGGTGACGAAGAGAAGTGGTGATGAGGGGAGGAAGCCGGAGCATGAAACCTTGTGTTTTTCCGTGTAAAGTGGCTTCGGCCGGCGATGAATGAAAGGTACCTCCTGTGTGCGGCGGTTGTGGCTGGGGTCGTTTTGGTTCCTCCTCTGTGTTCTGCAACGAGTGGTTGTTCCTGTGTGCGTAGTTCTATGCGTTTCTTGAATGTGCTGTTGCAGATCGCATTGGAATGGCTGCATGAAGAGACGGCCCCTTTTTTGGGGAAATGAAAGAAGATACACGACATGTGCAGTTTGCATCGGCTAGACATTCTCTGTCCAGATAGGCGTTGGCATAACCCAAGTGAGCAGCGGAAATTCTTTTTTGCATATGATGCCACGACGAAAGGCCAGCCGGTATGGCCAAAGCGTTTGCCAAGAAAGCCAAAGGCAAAGGCAGTTGCTAAGAGAGAGTTGAAGCAAGCTAGTAAGAGACCGGCCGCAAAGCCTTCCAAACTTGTGGTGACTACTCCACAGCCACTGCCGAAGTCAGGGAAGCATGCGTCTCGGCGCAGGGCTGGTGACGCACCTGCCCTTAGCCAGCTGACCGAGCGCGCCAAGAGGCTGCAAGCAGGAAGAACGGTCACAGTGGCGCTGATGTTAGCTAGATTCCATGTTTTCCAGCCTCTGCAACAAGACTCGTCGATGGACACTTTACCTCCCACACGAGGGCTGAATGCATTCCACAATGGAACTGATGTCTTCATCGTTGACTTGTTTACACGTTGGGGAAGCGAACTGGCGGATGTAGCTGCCCTGTCAGAAAGCTGTTCCGGGACTTGGCGACTTGGCAAGGTGCAGACTGTCCACAGAGCGCAGCTGACTGGTGTTGGTTTGCGCTACAAGGCCAAGGCTTTGACACGTGGCATTGTGCAGTTGGAGAGGATACAGGACATGGTCGCTCCTGATGTCCCAAGACACTTCAAAGAGACAGAGGCCCTGGCTTTCCGGTTGCTGCATGCCAACACCATCCAGTGGCCTTCCATGGATCCAGGGCAACAGCAGCCACACTCCGTTGTGCCACTAGGAGCTTCCTTGCATGGACGGCTTTGTGGCCACGAGGTCCGGCCTCGCTGTGACAAGGGAGGCATCCGTTTGGTGCTTGATCCCCACAAGATATGGCCTTGTATGGCACGGCACCTTTAGGAACCTGGAATGCCCATTGGTCAAGAAAGTTGCCAGCGTCGCGGATTGGGGGAAAAATCGATTGGGGGGCATTGGCAGGATTGGTGTGAAAGAAAAAATAGATAGGATGCAAAATGATATAGATAAAAAATCCACAGGGCCAGAATGTAGATCCTCAACCTCTCTATTGTGAAATTTACGCATGTTGAGTAGTGCTTCCATATTTTGGTGAAAGCTGGGCAATCCAGACCTTGATTGTGACAAGTAGTCTTGGTAAGAACCATATTAACTATTAACTTGTTCGAAAAAATAGTCAAAAAAATATCACCACGTCACACAATATTACTACTCGAAACCAAATCATTCCCTTATATTTTCATACCAAAACATAAGAAATTTACCACAAAAGAATGCTCTGGTGTATTTTGGTGTGCAAACAAGACATTATAACCCACCCACCAAATTTGTTAGATAGATTTTCATTATTCCCCACCTGCCAGGTGAGGGTTGTTAGATTTTATCAGAGCTGTTCTCCTCCTCCTCCGCCTCCTCACCCGCCGCCTCCTCCTCGCAGTCCAGATCCCAGTGGGGACAGCCGGACCTCCACCGCGAGCTCCAGATCCCAGTGGGCACAGCCGGACCTCCACCGCGAGCTCCAGATCCCAGTGGGCACTGCCGGACCTCAACCGCGAGTTGCAGATCGCAGTGGGCACTGCCGGACCTCAACCGCGACTTCCAGGTCGCAGTGGGCACTGCCGGACCTCAACCGCGAGCTCCAGATCCCAGTGGGCACTGCCGGACCTCAACCGCGAGCTCCAGATCCCAGTGGGCACTGCCGGACCTCAACCGCGAGCTCCAGATCCCAGTGGGCACTGCCGGACCTCAACCGCGACTTCCAGATCGCAGTGGGCACTGCCGGACCTCAACCGCGACTTCCAGATCGCAGTGGGCACTGCCGGACCTCAACGGGAAGAATGTCAGAAAAGATGTCAGATAGAATGTCAGAAGATATGCCAGATAGAATGCCAGAAAGAATGTCAGAAAGAATGTCGGAAGATATGCCAGACAGAATGTCAGAAGATATGCCAGAAAGAATGTCAGATAGAATGT